GGAGATGAGGAGATGAGGAGATGAGGAGATGAGGAGATGAGGAGATGAGGAGATGAGGAGATGAGGAGATGAGGAGATGAGGAGATGAGGAGATGAGGAGATGAGGAGATGAGGAGATGAGGAGATGAGGAGATGAGGAGATGAGGAGATGAGGAGATGAGGAGATGAGGAGATGAGGAGATGAGGAGATGAGGAGATGAGGAGATGAGGAGATGAGGAGATGAGGAGATGAGGAGATGAGGAGATGAGGAGATGAGGAGATGAGGAGATGAGGAGATGAGGAGATGAGGAGATGAGGAGATGAGGAGATGAGGAGATGAGGAGATGAGGAGATGAGGAGATGAGGAGATGAGGAGATGAGGAGATGAGGAGATGAGGAGATGAGGAGATGAGGAGATGAGGAGATGAGGAGATGAGGAGATGAGGAGATGAGGAGATGAGGAGATGAGGAGATGAGGAGATGAGGAGATGAGGAGATGAGGAGATGAGGAGATGAGGAGATGAGGAGATGAGGAGATGAGGAGATGAGGAGATGAGGAGATGAGGAGATGAGGAGATGAGGAGATGAGGAGATGAGGAGATGAGGAGATGAGGAGATGAGGAGATGAGGAGATGAGGAGATGAGGAGATGAGGAGATGAGGAGATGAGGAGATGAGGAGATGAGGAGATGAGGAGATGAGGAGATGAGGAGAAGAGGAGATGAGGAGAAGAGGAGAAGAACGCCTGATCTAAAGAGCACCGGCTGCTGCCCCTCCGTCAGCAGCTGTAGCAGCACCGTGATTACCTGGGAGCAGGCAGGGGAGGGGATGAGCAGTGGAGGGCAGTATGGGGAGCAGAAATGTCATTGACATTGACAGTGACAGTGACAGTGACAGTGACAGTGACAGTGACAGTGACAGTGACAGTGACAGTGGCTACCACAAGGCTTGCTGCGGCTCGAAACCATCTTCAACTTGCAAGGGCAGTATGGGGAGCAGAAATGTCATTGACAGTGACAGTGGCTACCACAAGGCTTGCTGCGGCTCGAAACCATCTTCAACTTGCAAGGGCAGTATGGGGAGCAGAAATGTCATTGACAGTGACAGTGGCTACCACAAGGCTTGCTGCAGCTCGAAACCATCTTCAACTTGCAAGGGCAGTATGGGGAGCAGAACTGTGCTTTTGAGAATTCTCAAAAACACCCTTCGGGAGCAGAAATGTCAGCTACCACAAGGCAAGGCTTGCTGCAGCTCGAAACCATCTTCAACTTGCAAGGGCAGTATGGGGAGCAGAACTGGGAAGCGAGGAGGTGAGAGGTGAAATAGACACCATCCTTGTATAACTGCTGCCATTGTCATTGCCTGCTGCCTCTCCGTCAGCAGCTGTAGCTGCGGTTGCGGCTTCAGCACAGCAGGAGGTGGCATGGTAATGGCAGCAGCAGTACCCTTGTTCCTTTGCCCTCCCCCACTCCTCACCCTCATATGCTCTATCCCCACGCTCACCTGCTCTCCCCACGCTCACCTGCTCTCCCGAACGCTCACCTGCTTGCCGGTCCACAGCGGCTGCGGCTTCACCACAGCAGGGGGCGGCATGGTGATGGCAGCACAAGCCTCAGGGAGAGCGCGGATCCTCCCGGGCGCTGCTGCTGCCATGCCTGCTGGCTTTTCCGCAGCAGATACGGTGCCTGGAGGGGCAGTGGTGGTGGCGGCAGCGGCACCATCAGCGGCTGGAGGAGCAGCAGCAGCAGCAGCAGCAGCTGCATCAGCACCACCGGCAGCAGCACCACCAACAGCAGCACCAACAGGGGCGGGAGCAGCAGCAGCACCAGCAGCAGCAGGGGCGCCATCAGCAACAGCCGTTGCACCAGCAGCAGCAACATCAGCAGCAGCAGGAACAGGGGCAGCGGCGGGTTTGGCAGGTGGGGCTTGGAAGGGGGTGTCGGGGGGTGGGAGGCAGGCGGAGAAGAGCAGCTGCTGGAACTCTGTGCGCGTGAGCAGCGTTCCTGGTGATGTGAGTAGCGTGGCTGCTATGATGTGGTCCTGGTAGGGAAGGGAGAGGGGGAGGAAGGCAGGGGGGGAGGGAGAAAGGCATGTGAGGGCGCGTGCTGGAACAGGCGGAGAAGAGCAGCTGCTGGAACTTGGTGCGAGAGAGGAGGGTGCCTGGTGATGTGAGGAGCATTGCATTGCAGCAATGAAGTGATCCTGGTGGTGGGGGGGGAAGGAAGTTGGGAGTGATGGGTGCGTAGGTGGGAAGGAGAGGGGCAAGGCGTCTTTTGAGGCGCCTCAAAATCCGCGAGACATGAGACGACTTTTGAGGCGCCTCAAGAATGGGCGGGTGGAGAAGAGCAGCTGCTGGAACTCTGTGCGTGTGAGCAATGTGCCGGCCGGCCGGGCGAGGTGGCGGACAGAACACACAGATACGACCTTCCCCAGCTGCACCCTCACTCGAATGAGCCCTCGGGTAGGCAGCCCGTTGGTGGGCGGCAACATGTACTATTGAGTACGCTTCAAAAGAGGATGACAATGGGCACTGAGACACAGATACGACCTCCCCCAGCTGCACCCGCTCACCTGAATGAGCCCTCTGGCAGGCAGGCCGTTGGTGGGCAGTATGTACTGTAAGTCAGCGTCTACTATCGAGTACGCCTCTGCTCGCCCCAGGGCGTCCTGAGGCAGATGCACGTTCATCTCGTCCCCGTCAAAGTCCGCATTGTATACACTGCGGTTTAGAGGGGTGCAGGAGGGTGGGTAGGGCTGAATCGGAGTTCACTTCTGCTCGCCCCAGGGCGTCCTGAGGCAGACAGATGCACATTCATCTCGTCCCCGTCAAAGTCTGCATTGTAAACACTGCGGTGACAAGGGGTGAAGGAGGGTGAGCAGGGGCGAGACGGGGTTTATAGAGGTGAACAGGGATGCACTGGCACTGCAATTGACAGTACACGGCACACGCACGTGCTGCGTGAAGAAGTGGGCAACTCACTTGCAGTTGGCATAGTGCAGGCGAAGGGTCTTCTCCCCCTTGAGGATCTTCACTCGGTGCGCCATGATGCCGGGACGATGCAGCGTGGGCTGCAGGGAGAGAAGAAGAAGATCAGGGGTGAGAAGCAGACAGACATTAGCGAAAATAGGAGGAAGATCAGGAATCGGGTGAAGTATGTAGCAGCGTGGGATGGACTCAATGCCTGGCCCTGCGGCGTTCGAAAGGCTTTTATAGCATCCCTCATGCGCAGCGCAGATACACGGTAACTCTTGGTTTTATCTTCAAGTCAAATCTCCCTCGGACCCTCACCTGTCGGTTCACCAGCACCGTGCCATCAAGCATGCGCCGATACACTGCAGCATCACATGTTTATGTATGAGTCAAATTCATTCACCTTTACCTTACTGCTACACCACACAACTCGATTATCTCACCTGTCGGTTCACCAGCACCACATCTCCGTCCCTCATGTGCCGATACACTAACTTCACCATCACTTGCTAAACCTCAGAACTTACCTCACACACACACAGTGTCTTGCCCCAGAACCCATGATGCTGAAGGGTGTGTTTGAGAATTCTCAAAAACACCCCTCACACACACACACACACACACACACACACAGTGTCTTGCCCCAGAACCCAGCAACCATTCTTTCCTCTCCTGTCGGTTCACCAGCACCACATCTCCGTCCCTCATGTGCCGATACACCGAATTCACCATCTCATGTTTGAGTCAACTCACAACTCACCTCCCACACACAGTGCCATGCCTTCCCCACAGAAACCATTCCCTTTCTCACCTGTAGGTTCACCAGCACCACATCGCCATCCCGCATGTGCTGATACACCGACTTCACCATCGCCCGTTAAAGCCGTTCACTCACCTTGCAACCTCCCAATGCAGAAATCAAGTCTCTGCGTGCACATTTCCCTCACCTGCCTGTTCACCAGCACCACGTCTCCGTCCCGCATGTGCCGATACACCGATTTCACCATCGCGTGTTTGAGTCAACTCAAAGCTCACCTCACCTCTCCTCAACACAACGCCACATCAAATCTCTCACCTGCCTGTTCACCAGCACCACATCGCCATCCCTCATGTGCCGATACACCGACTTCACCATCGCGTGTTTGAGTCAACTCAAAGCTCACCTCACCTCACCTCAACACAACGCCACATCGAATCTCTCACCTGCCTGTTCACCAGCACCACATCGCCATCCCGCATGTGCCGATACACCGACTTCACCATCGCGCACCGCACATGCACCCCCTTCCCCACACAGATCTCACCTCACCCACAATGCCCTGCCCCACGGCTCAGAGATCAATTGTTTTCTCACCTGCCTGTTCACCAGCACCACATCGCCATCCCGCATGTGCCGATACACCGACTTCACCATTGCTCGCCGCACATGCACCCCCTTCCCCTCCGCCGCTCCCTCCCCCGCCCCCTTCTTCCCCTCGCCGTCCTTCACATGGACGCCTGTCGCGCGCTGATTGGCCGCGAGCGCGGCAGCAGAGGGCGTGGAGAGGAGCGTGCGGGCGAGGGCCCTCCGGCGGTCGGGGTTGAGGTGGGCGAGGGAGACGAGCTGCCCCCTCTCGTCCTCCACGTGTGTGGCTCCTGGTAACACATCCGCTCCGTTCTCAACGAGCCGTGCTAGGTACTCCACGTTCCAATCCGTCACGGTCTGGTTCGGAAGGTGAAAGGGGAGCGGGTAAATGGGTGGGGGAGCGGGGAAAGGCGAGGAGACAGCACAGAAATAAGGAGGGGGGTGGATAACAGCAGCAAAGCGTGCGTGCGAGGGCCCTCCGGCGGTCGGGGTTGAGGTGGGCGAGGGGGACGAGCTGCCCTGCCCCCTCTCGTCCTCCACGTGTGTGTGTGTGTGGCTCCCAGCAGCACGTCTGCCCCGTTCTCCACCAGCCTTGCCAGATACTCCACGTTCCTATCCGTCACCGTCTGGTTCCAAAGGGGAGAAGGGAGGGGGGGGTTGCATGGGAAAGGGTTGGGGGGCAGTGAAAAGGAGAGGTCCGTTCTCCACCAGCCTTGACTTTTGAGTCGACTCAAAAGTCGTCCACCAGCTTTACCAGATACTCCACGTTCCAATCCGTCACCGTCTGAGCTTGCAAGGGAGGAGGGGGCCGTGTGGGTTGGGGGGGGAGGGGAGGGTGCGGAGGCAGGGCCACGGTGTGGATTCGGAAAGGATGGGAGGTGGAGAGAGGGAATGTGAGATGGTGGGGAGGAGTGTTAAGCGGTGTCTTGTCCTCCGGCGGTCTGGGTTGAGGTGGGCAAGGGAGACGAGCTGTCCTCAAAAGTAACATTTTCTTACCAAAGAAAATACCTCTATTTTACTATCCGAACGGTTCTCAGTCATAAAATATCTTCTTACCTCAGCGTATGTGAGTCGCTTGGCAAAAACGGGCGGCACTCCGATCTCGTTCACCTGATTTGATTCGGGCAAATCATTTGGGGAGCAAAGAGTATTGGGGGCGGGCGGGTTGCATCCAAAGCACTGAGGGGAGCATATTGTAGTGCAGCATCATATTCTGAGAGGGTGATGTGATGGTGGCACGGCAGGGTGGTGAGAAAGAGAAGAAGGGGGGGGTGATTGATGGCAAGCACACCCCAAAGAGAGACAGACTTGGATGTAGGGGTTTGGTGAGATGTCGGAGCGGCAGGCGTAGTTGACGCGCTTGCCCATCATGTTCATTCAAAGGATGGTGTAACATGCAAGATAACATAGCAAACACACCACACCCCACAGACAGACAGACGGCACACAGACCTGGATGTAGGGGTCAGGCGAGATGACAGAGCGGCAGGCGTAGTTGACGCGCTTGCCCATCATGTTCATTCAAAGGATGGTGTAACATGCAAGATAACATAGCAAACACACCACACCCCACAGACAGACAGACGGCACACAGACCTGGATGTAGGGGTCAGGCGAGATGACAGAGCGGCAGGCGTAGTTGACGCGCTTGCCCATCATGTTCATTCAAAGGATGGTGTAACATGCAAGATAACATAGCAAACACACCCCACAGACAGACAGACGGCACACAGACCTGGATGTAGGGGTCAGGCGAGATGACAGAGCGGCAGGCGTAGTTAACGCGCTTGCCCATCATGTTCATTCGAAACAGCCCCTCCTTCCTCTCCAGCTGCTGCCGTATGCCATTCGCCGGGTCCTTCTGATTGCCTACACATGCGTAGGTGGGTAAAAACAGGGGTTGGATGGGGTTGGAAGGGGCATAGGGGAGGAAGTGCCTGTGTTAATGGAAGCAGACAGAACAGCCCCTCCTCCTTCTTCTTAGGGGAGGAACTGCTTAGGGTTTCGGGTTTAGCCATTCGCCGGGTCCGTATGCGAGTCTGCACTCATTTTTGAGTCGAGTCAAAAATAGACCATTCGCCGGGTCCTTATGCGAGTCTGCACTCCAGAAAGGGAAAGATCGGCAAAAGAGGGGAGGGGTGGAAGGAAGGTTCGGGTGACCCTCCTACCACTCCAGCTGCTGCCGAATGCCGTTCGCCTGTGAGTCCAGTCCCGACCATGGGACACAACCAGCTTGCAACCCAAACCATGTGATACCTTGCTCGTTTGATTCGACTCAACAACCTGTGAGTCCCGACCATGGGACACCTCCCATCCACTCACTGCCAGAGACTCACTGCCTGCCCATGCACGCACTTAGGCTGCTGTCCAGGAGGCAGTTCACGTGGTGCTGCAGCTGCAGCCACGCAATCGCCGGCCCCTCAAATGACTGCTTATACGAACCCAAACCATGTGATACCTTCCCACCCATAGCAACTCACTCAGGCTGCTATCCAGGAAGCAGTTCACGTGGTGCTGCAGCTGCAGCCATGCGATCGCCGCCTTTCTCACTTCCGTCGCGCCCATCTCCGCCCCCTCCGCCGCCGCTCCCCCTCCGCCGTCCACCCCCGCCGTATACACCAGCTGTGCCAGCTGCTTACCGCCCCCCTCACCCTCACCACCAGCAGCGGCGGCGGCGGCAGCAGCAGCAGCGGCCTCTCGGCCGATCTGAGTGATGAAGAGGTTGGCCTCGAGAATTTTCGTGAGAAAGACGTTCTGAGGGTGCTCCAACAGCTGAGAGTGGGGCGGGGAGGGTGTGAGGGAAGGAGGGAGGGGAAGAGGTTGGGTAGTTTGGGTTGGGAAAGCTGTCCACCGTCCACCCCCGCTTCGCCAACCCAACCCAACCCAACCCCCGCGGTATACACCAGCTTCGCTAGCTGCTGGCCGCCCCCTTCACCCTCAGCAGCAGCACCAGCAGTGCCACCACCTGCAGCAGCGCTACAGGCGGCAGCAGTGGCGGCGGTCTCACGGCCGATCTGAGCGATGAAGAGGTTGGCCTCGAGGATTTTCGTGAGAAAGGCGTTCTGAGGGTGCTCCAACAGCTGAGGGCGGAGAGGGCTAAGTGGGGGGGAAGATGGAGAGGAAGAGGTTAGGTGTTTTGGAGGTTTGGTAAAGGTGCAGTGCGGTCTCGCAGCTTCTCAGCCGATCTGAGTGACAAAAAAGTTGGCCTTGAGGGTGCAATTGAGAAAGAAAGTCATTAAGAGGGCGCCTTAACAGATCCCAGCAGCAAGCAATCAATCTGTCCAGCCCAGCATGTCGTTCATCATGTTGGGGGGGCGGAACTTGTTGGGCGGCACGAGCAGGCAAGCAGCCCAGCATGCAACCAGCGGCCCAGCCCATACAAGCAAGGCCCCAGCAACAACCCACCCAGCAACAACCCACCCAGCAACCACCCACCCAGCAACCACCCACCCAGCAACAACCCACCCAGCCCCCACGCTCTCAGCCCCAGCCACCACAGCCCACCATGTCGTTCATGATGTTGGGGGGGCGGAACTTGTTGGGCGGCACGAGCAGGCAGCGCAGGAAGAAAGCAGACGGCCACGTCGGAGCACCACCCCCACCCCCATGGTGCCCATGGTGCCCCACACCCTGCTGCTGCTGGTAGTACCGCTTGTGATGGTACGGCAAAAGCCCCGCAGTGGAGTGGGCATGGGAGTGGGAGTGGGAATGGGAGTGGGTAGAGGAGTGAGAGAGGGGAGAGGAGGAGCCGAAGAGCGCATTGCAGATAGCGGGTTCTCGGATCCACAGCCGTCTCAGATGCTCCTCCACCTCCGCCACATTCATCAGAAACGGCCTTCTTGTCGACGCCTCTCCCCCTCCTCCTCCTCCCCTACCTGCCGTTCCCCTCTTCCGCTTCGCTGCCGCGGGCAACATCTCATCGTCGTCGCTGTCATCGTGTTCCCTCAGCAACATGCGTTTCTCTCCGCTGCCGTTGCCGTCCACGGTGTAGCTCCGGAGCTCGCCGTCCGGCCCGATGTTGATGTCAGCGGGGTCCTTCCCGGAAGCTGCGGCTTCGGCCAGCTCTGCCAGCACGTCTGGGAAGGTGAATCCGTTCAGGTCGTTCTGGTGCTGCGGCTTCACCGCCAGGGGTTTCTGGGAGAGTCAAGGGGGGAATGGGGAGGTAGAGGTGGTGGAATTGAGGAGTGGGAAGCTGCGGCTTTGGCCAGCTCTGCCAGCACGTCTGGGAAGGTGAATACGTTCAGGTCGTTCTGGTGCTGCGGCTTCACCGCCAGGGGTTTCTGGGAGAGTCAAGGGGGGAATGGGGAGGTAGAGGTGGTGGAATTGAGGAGTGGGAAGCTGCGGCTTTGGCCAGCTCTGCCAGCACGTCTGGGAAGGTGAATCCGTTGAGGTCGTTCTGGTGCTGCGGCTTCACCGCCAGGGGTTTCTGAAAGAGTCAAGGGGAAGAGGAGAGGGAGGGGGGGGGGAAGGTGGAACTGCGGAGTGGGAATCTGCAGCCTCTGCCAGCAGCACACCTGGGAAGGTGAATCCGTTCAAGTCGTTCTGGTGCTGCGGCTTCACTGCCAGAGGTTTCTGAAAGAGTCAAGGGGAAGAGGAGAGGGAGGGGGGGAAGGGAGAGAGGTGGAACTGAGGAGTGGGAATCTGCAGCCTCTGCTAGCCAGCTCTGCCAGCGCGTCTGGGAAGGTGAATCCCTTCAATTCGTTCTAGTGCAGGCAGGCAGGCAGGCAGGCAGGCAGGCAGGCAGGCAGGCAGCACAGCACTCCACAGCTCCCGCGCCACATCCCTTATCGAGCCCACTGCCGCACCTTGATACCCTCGTGTAATGAGTCGAGTTTTGAGTCGACTCAAAACTCGACCCATTACACGCGGTTCAATTCGTTCTGGTGCAGGAAAGCAGCACAGCACTCCACAGCTCCCGCGCCACATCCCTTATCGAGCCCACTGCCGCACCTTGATACCCTAAACCTGACCCCCAACACTAAAATCCCAGACTACACAACCCTACGCCTTAAACCCCAAACCCTGAATTCCAAACTCTTAAGATCAGCCAGACGTACCCTGAAGATCTTGCTATGGCCCTCCCGCTTGACGGTCGGGTTGTTAGCCCACTTTGAACTCTTGCACTGATGAAGGCCTAGCGGGTATGATCTCCGTGCAAAGCCGAAACATGTTTGCTTTCGTCTAGAGTTTGAACTGAGCTGTACGTTTGGATCTTAACAAGAATTACTTTTTTCACTAGTTGACTATCGTCCCTTTGCTAAAGGCGACCTTGCCTACTGCTGCCCTTCTTCATGAGCACAGATCCCAGGAAGGCGGCACCACGCTCCACAGCTCACGCACCACCTCCCTCGCCGCCACCTCTGCCGCACCTTGAAACTCCAAACCTTAAACCACTGGATCTTCGGCCCCGAACCCTGAAACCCTGGACCTTGAAACCCCAAACCCGAAACCCTGCAAACCCCTGAATCCCGACCATCCAGACGTACCCTGAAGATCTTACTGTGGCCCTCCTTCTTGACGGTCGGGTTGTTAGCCCCGCAGTTCTGGCACTTGGAGGGCGGCACCACACTCCACAGCTCCCGCACCACCTCCCTCGCCGCCACCTCCGCCGCCCACGACCACCTCTCCTCTCCCCCTCCCCCGTCCCCTTCCCCCAACACATCCCCCTCCTCAATTTCCCCCACCGCCGCCGCTGCTTCTGCAGCAGCAGCAGCAGCCTTTTCAGCCTCGGCTTTCCAAGACGCGTCTATATCCATCTCTTGAGCTCCTTTCTCCCCTTCCTCCCTCTCCTCATCCTCCTCATCCTCGTCATCATCATCATCTACTGCCCCTGCTGGCCCAGAAACATACACAGCCTTCACTCCTCCTTTTCCTCCTCCTAATTCCCCTTCTCCTTTTCCTTTCCCATTCCCCTTGCCCCAGCCTCTGCGCTTGGCCTTGGGAGGCATTTTCTGCCCCAGCTCCTGGGCCTCCCTCAGCCGCCCCTGAGAAATCAGCGCCAGCCGCAGCGCATACAGCTTCGACTGCACACACGGGGTGGGTGGGGTGGGGTGGGGAGGGGTCGGGCGGGGTGGGGGATCATGCAGGCACACACAGCGCCGCAGCTTCAGGAGAAGGGGGAAGAGCAGCAGGTGGTACACGGGTAGGGGGCCAAGCTTAACCCTAACAACAAGCCCGAGGTTGCGAAGGAAGGAGAATGCATACCACAGCGGAGAGCAGCTTGAGGTGGTGGCAGCGCAGGAGCTTCATGAGGAGGGCGAAGAGCAGAGGGTGGTTCACAGGCAGACATGCAGGGGCAGGCAGGCATGCAAGCTATAGAGGTTGCGAAGGAAGGAGAATGCGTACCACAGCGGAGAGCAGCTTGAGGTGGTGGCAGCGCAGGAGCTTCATGAGGAGGGCGAAGAGCAGCGGGTGGTTCACAGGCAGACATGCAGGGGCAGGCAGGCATGCAAGCTATAGAGGTTGCGAAGGAAGGAGAATGCGTACCACAGCGGAGAGCAGCTTGAGGTGGTGGCAGCGCAGGCACACACAGCGCAGCAGCTTCACGAGCAGGGAGAAGAGCAGCGGGTGGTACACTGGCAGTGCCAACTCCAGGTGGCCGAAATGCCCCGGGCAGTGGAAGTACCCCAGCTGGCATGTGACGCAGCTGCAAGGGGTGTTGATGTGTAGGGTTCAAGAGATAGGGTTTAACGTGAAGAACCCGAGGGAGATCAGCGAGTGGTACACTGGCAGTGCCAACTCCAGGTGGCCGAAATGCCCCGGGCAATGGAAGTACCCCAGCTGGCACGTGACGCAACGCAACTGCAAGGCGGGTGCGGGTGTCGGGTTTAACAGTTGGGGTTTAGGGCATGTAACATTGATCCATAAATTTTGTCACACATCAGATTTATCAACAGGTTCATAACGGCCCACTCCCAAAACCCGTTCTAGGGAAATCACACGTCGGATTTATCAGCAGGACCGAGTGCAGGGTCATAAAGTCATCCTCCTCTCCCCCCCCCCCCAAACGGGCGGGGCTGCGCAGCCCATTGAAGAGCAGCGGATTGGTGGTGCGCCTCAAGCTGATGAGGGTGCCCCTTCATTCCCCCTTTAACCCCTTAGCCTACATAAACCCGTCAAAAACCCCTCCCAAGGAGCTTACACATCAGATTTGTCCACGGGGCCGAGAGCAGGGTCGTAGAGGCCGCCAGCAGCAGGGCTGCGCAGCCCATCGAAGAGCAGCGGGTTGGTGATGCGCCTCACGCTGATGGCGCGCACCTCGTCCGCCGTGTAGAATCCGAACCCCACGCCCTCTATCACACGGCTCACCACCTGAAGTGTGGGGGAGGGGGGTGCAGGGAAGAGCCAGGGGAAGGAGGAGTTTGGATACGCCTCACGCTGATGGCGCGCACCTCGTCCGCCGTGTAGAATCCGAACCCCACGCCCTCTATCACGCGGCTCACCACCTGGAGCGAGGGGTTGGGGGGGCTGGGGACGGGGGAGGGGGAAATGAGGGCACGGGTGCGCATGAAGGGGGCTGATGGCGCGCACCTCGTCCGCCGTGTAGAAGCAACCCTCAACCTCTATCACGCGGCTAACCGCCTGCGGGGGGGGGGGGGGGGGGAGGGGAGGGGGAACGGGGGAGCGGGAAGGGGGTTGCCAGGGGAAAGGATGAAGGGGGAGAATGGGCACGGAGGGATGGGAGATGATCGCGCGCACCTCGTCCGCCATGTAGAAGCCAAACGCCACGGCCGCGATAGTGCCTTGAGACATTGTCGTGACGCAAGCGGCACGGTAGACATCTCGAAACAGCCGACATTGTGGTGTGCAGGTGAAGGAAACTGAGTGTTGAGGCGTCTGAAAACTCAGTCATGCTTGCTTTCCCATGCAGGTGAAGATAACTAGTTCAAACGCAATTGCGTTTTTTTTTTAAGAAGAAACGTGGCAGCAAAGGAGACGCGGGGTTAGACCCTGGCTCTGTTGCGAAAGGGTGGCATTTGAATCGGCTGAAGTCAATAACGCGAGGCGGCAAACGTGACGCGGGGAAATGCTAAAGCCTGTTTCTTTTCGCCAAAGAATGCAGGTGGTAAGCTGACATCGAGGCACCGGAGAACCATGGAAGCCCGTGGATAGCCCTAAGCGAGGCTCAAGCGCTTCGACCGTGCCGACATTTGCTTTGAGAAAATGATATCTCGCAGCGATCTTTGGCGTTCGAAATCGAGAAGCAAAAAACGGGCTGTGGAGAAAAGGAATCGTCTATGAATCGACTAACTCATGCGCACCTCATGTCGAACCGACTTGTTCATGGTCGCATCAACGAGCGCCGGTGAGATGCTAAGACTGCTTCACGGTCACCAGTACCACGGAATGCCGGTCTGGCGTAACACGGTGCGATTCGAACACCAGCAAGCGATGTAAATTCCTCAAAAGACGATGAATTCCCGTACCCCAAGCAGTTTTTCCGCCGGTCGATTTGACGCTGTCAACCAGCGGATCAGGCGGCGGTGAAAGGTGTATGCAGCAGTGATTGGCGACTAGATTCTAACCCTAAATGAAGGTCTTGGGGTTTGTGATAATACTTGAGCTGGATGCTATGGTGTGGGGAAGTCACCGGTACAAGCAAGTTCGGTAAGAGACATAAATGGCTACATGATGGTATATGTGATTACCACTTGTCGTAAGAATCCTTAGGCAAACAATTTATGGTCTAGATTTCATGCAAACAATCCCTAGAAATTATGTTCGGTAGCTAGGATACCACAGTGCTAGCATGATGAAGAATTTGGATACAAGAAAGCATGCACAAGGTGGTATACATTGCCATCCTCTCATGAATGCACCAGATTGACTGTCACTACAAAGTTACATTCCGGACTCAGGGCTGTATCAGAGCTTACACTCTCCCTGTATGCATGCCCTTGACCTGAAGACTGGAGCAAATAGCTTGAACCTGACGTGGTACGAAAACAAATCGAGCAGGGAAGACACGCAAAAGATAGGAGCAGACAGGAAGATCGTCAAATGTACAGATATTCTTGGAAGGACAAGTAGCAGCCCAAGAAAGTAACTCAGACATCACAAACCATGAAGCCAGCGATGGTAAATTTAACTGATGACAAAGGCATTGACTCTTGAAGCTGGTTCTCAAACCCATGGCCGAATCATGTCCGAAGCGCACCGAGCATACATAAGAACACTGTGCTTAGAGAGTGATAGCCTAAACTAGCACTAGGCCAATGGATTCATGGCAATAACACATCAAAACATATCAGGATGATACCCAGTACGCGTGTACCCACTATATGGTTTTTAGGCTGAAGGTGAACCACAGGAAAAGTTTTGAGGCGCCTCAAAACTCGTAGTAATGTTGAGGCGCCTCAGAACGTGTCTCATTCCACAACGTGTGTAACCACTACGTGGTTTTTAGGCTGAAGGTGAATCACAGGACAAGATTCGAGGCGCCTCAAAACTCGTAGCATTGTTGAAGCGCCTCTGAACTCGTCTCATTCCACTACGTGTGTAACGACTACATGGCTTTTAGGCTGGAGACGAACCACAGAACAAGAACCATACTAGTTTAGGTCAACTCTCCGGCTGTCAGTGGCGACGCTCTCTGCTCTAAGAGTAAACCACTTTGATTCTGGTTCCTGGAAACGCCTTTGGCCACAAGCATTTCGAATCGAGCTGCCGAAGAAACGTGCTCGTCGCAGAAGTGCAACGACTTGTCATATGAGCACCACCGTCTGAAGCGTCAGAACCCGTTACCGACCCTTGACCACTTTTCTCCTCACCTGCGCGTCACTATAACGAGGTCATTGCGTTGCTTCGCGGAAGGCCTCCATCTTCTTCATCCGCCGTAGGAACAGCTCGTATTCGCACTTTTCGTACGAGTGCCGCTCGTCGCTGCACTTCCACGGCGCGAACATCGTCTCCGTGCGGCAGCGGTTCAGCGGAATCAGCAGATGCGCGCACAGATCGCGCGCGCCCAGGCTCAGCCGCGCGCGCGCCATCTCCTCCTCCGACACCAGCGGCTTCTCCGGAGCGGACATGGCTGCGAATATAAAACAACGATATACTCTCTTCTCTTGCGCTGACGCGAATAAGAGGCTTTGTCACTTTTTTTGCGGGACGGCGTGTTGCGGGAGGCGGGCAGGCGGGGAAGGATGGGCGTGTAGTGGGCGGAGTGGGGAGTGGAGGTGGCGTGGCGGACGGAATGCAGAGAGCTAGTTCAACTCTCTATACCCGCTGCAAGTACAAACTAGATTCATATGGGATTTTAGCAGGATTATGCAGGATTATTCCACTTATACATTACCGTACTACAAATGTTTCTCCAGTATGCTGATAGTTGATTCGCTTATACATTACCGTACTACATATGTTTCTCCTATTCATGAAGGCTACAGAGCTAATTATCATGGTCTGTTACAATAATAATCAATTGCATTCAGTTGGTAAAAAGCTGAGGCTATGTTACATCCATGCATGCTTTGGTCTTAGAATGACAAAAACCAACCCAAGGGCCTCAACCTGCACATGTAGTTGAACAACAGTATTTTTTTTATGACGTTATCGGAGCTGGCCTGCAACGGGGCCCCTCTGACACAACCCAGACTGCTATGCCGACACGGTTACAAAATCTAGATTCCAAACCTGCTTTTCGCACAGCGTTGCCTCCCGACGACCTTACTGTGCGGCCTTAGTGTCTTGCTAGTCAATGCAATTTAGCATCGAACCAGCCATTCAATAAAAATGTCATCAGACGGAAATCCCCATACACGCAGCGATGACGTTTCCGCGCAGACCCCGCAAGGGTCGATGGGCACTCAAGCGCAAACCCCGCAGGGATCAATGCGAACGCCGGAGCAGACACCGCTAACTCCGCGGGACTCGGGGCGATCGAGCTCGCCTCAGCTGAACTTCACGCCGCGCGCGAGCGCCGGCAGCCCGTACAGCTCGCAGCAACCCACCATCCGATCCACGTGCGTTGCTTCTTACGCCTACTGGTGGTTCTTCTGTTACACATTTACATTTATCCACGCTTGAGCAGTCATCGGTCCTTCCCTGCAGTCTCTTCAGCTGCAGTAAGGATGGTTCTTTTTTTTTTTTTTTTTTTTAAAGTCGAGTCAAAAATCGTCTCATCTCGCGAGGATGTACTACTCGCTTGACGCGCAAATTCATGCTTTTAGCCGGCCCACTTCTCGATTCACCTCGTGAAATCTCAGGCCTATCAAAAAGGGAAATTTCAGCAGCCTTCCTGTTGATCGGTTCACACGCAATGGATCCGTGTTGTCTACGATCCACATGTGCGGAGCATGTATGCACTGTGCGCGCCTGCTGTTCCCGCTATTCCCAACCGATCCCCACCCTCCCTCCCCTCTCTTAACCACCCCTCCCCCCACTGCCCCTTCCCCCCCCCCCCTCTCTCCTCCCCTTCTTTTCAGTCCGTCCTTCCCCAGAAGCGCCCTGGGCGGCTCCATGGCGCCGCGCTGCAAGTTTCCGCCATTCATTGTTGGAAGGGTAGCAGTACTTGATTCACTGCTTCCCCCTATTCCCCCCAATCCCCCAAATTTCCCATTCCCCCCATCACCCCCAACCTCACCGTGCTCAGTCCGTCCTTCCCCAGGAGCGACCTGGGTGGCTCCATGGCGCAGAGCCGCAGGTACCACCACTGAGGTGACTTTTGAGTCGACTTTTGAGTCGAGGTGACTTTTGAGTCGACTCAAAAGTGTGCTCAGTCCGTCCTTCCCCAGGAGCGACCTGGGCGGCTCCATGGCGCAGAGCCGCAGGTACCACCACTGAGGTGACTTTTGAGTCGAGGTGACTTTTGAGTCAACTCAAAAGTGTTCTCAGTCCGTCCTTCCCCAGGAGCGACCTGGGTGGCTCCATGGCGGAGAGCTGCAGGTACCACCACCGCAGGCAGGGATCAACTGAGTGCACTGTTGTCCAACCCATTCCTTCCTCTCCCCTCCCTAACCCTTCCCTCCTCCTTTTTCTCCTGTTCTCAGTCCGTCCTTCCCCAGGAGCGACCTGGGTGGCTCTATGGCGCAGCGCCGCAGGTTCCACCGCCGCAGGCAGGGCGCATCAGGGCAGGCGGCATCTGGGGGAGGTGCGCCTTCAGGCACGCCCGTCAGCACTCCAGGGCCACCTGAGCCGTCTGATAGCCTGGTGGGTGGTGGTGGTGCTTTGACACAAAGCATCAGGGCAGGTGGCATCTGGGGGAGGTGCGCCTTCAGGCACGCCCGTCAGCACTTTGCCTCTTCCTGAGTTACCTGTTAGCCTGGTAGGTGGTTTTTGAGGTGGCTTAAAAAATCAGGACAGGTCATTGCGTATTTAGGGAAAGGCGTATCTGGGGAGGAAATTCGAAGCAGCACAGAGAGAGCGCTCTTGTGATGACCTCCTCTCTCTGCTCCGCTCTCGTCCTCCCTTTCCCCTTCTGTTTCGCTCGTGCCCTGAAAGGGAAGCAACTCGGAGCAGGAGAGAATGTCATGGGCTCAGTGCCATTGGCTGCAGCAGCAGCAGCAGCACAAGGGGCGAGGAGCAGCCGCAGGGATCATGCTACCTTTCCTTCCTCAGAAATCATGCTACCTTTCCTTCCTCAGAAATCATGCTTCCTTTCCCCTCTCTGCTCCTACCGTGCCTTGACAGGGAGGCAACTCGGAGCAGGACAGGATGTCATGGGAAGAGTACCACCGCCAGCAGCGGCAGAGGGGGAGACGAGGGGCTGCAGGCGCTGGGGGAAGGGCAGGGGGAGGGGCAGGGGGAGGGGCAGGGGGAGGGGCAGGGGCAGCGGCAGAGGAAGGGTCGCACAGGGAGGCAGGACCGGGTGGGGAGGCGCAGGGGATGGGGATGGGGCAGGGGGAAGGGGAAGGGGAGGAGGAGGAGTTGGAGGGGACGTTTGTGTGGGGCACGGGGGTGAGCGTGCAGGACGTGTCGAGCAAGTTTGCCTCGTTCGTGCAGCACTTTAGGGAGGCGGATGATGCCCTTCACGCCAAGTACTCTCAGCAGCTGGATGAGGTGCGGTATGGGGGGGGAGAGGGGGTGCGTGTGTAACGTGGGGAGGAGGGAGGGGGGAGGGGGATGTGAGTGAGCAATGAGGGGAAGTGGGCAGGTAAGTTTGCATCGTTCATGCGGCACTTTAGAGAGGCGGATGATGCCCTTCACGCCAAGTACTTGCAGCAGCTGGATGAGGTGCGGTGGGGGGGTTGGGGGGAAGAGGGAGGGGAGAAGGGGGTTGTTCGGGCGGGGAGGAAGGGAGGGGTAGGACGGGAATGAGGGGGCTTAGGGAGGTCAGTGCGCAATGAGGGGAGGAGCGCGAGCAAGTTTGCATCGTTCGTGCAGCACTTCAGAGAGGCGGATGATGCCCTTCACGCCAAGTACTCGCAGCAGCTGGATGAGGTGCGGTGGGGAGGAGGTGGGGGGGGGGGATGGAAGGACGAGAGAGAAGGGAGGGAACGAACGAGGGTGCTCTAGGGATGGATTTTGAGAATTCTCAAAAACCAACTGTGTTGAAATCACTTTTGGGAATTCTCAAGAGTGAGCAGGTTTTTGGGAGACGCCTATCAGCTGGTGAAAAAGGAGGGAGACACCTTTCCCGTGGACTTTGCTAACGTGTACTGTACGCCTTCTCCTCTGCAACGCAGTCTTTTCTTAACACCTCGTGAATTCCCTTATCGCCCTCCTCCCCCTCTTTTTCCCCTCTGCCCACTCATCAATTAGTGGAGATGGAGGAAGACACCTTTCCAGTGGACTGTGCTGACGTGTACGCCTTCTCCGCAGCTCAATCCAACACCTCGTAAATCCCCCCTCCCCTTCCCCATCCCCCTCCCCATCCCCCTCCCCATCCCCGTCCCCATTCCCCTCCCCCTCCCCATTCCGCCCCCTGCACGCCTACCAGCTGGTGGAGATGGAGGGGGACACGTTCCGCGTGGACTGTGCTGGCGTGTACGCCTTCTGTGCAGCACAGATCCTTCTTCGACCTCATCATTCTCCCAACCCATCCCCCTATGCTTTTGCTGATTATTCGTACCAGCTGGTGGAGATAGAGGGAGACACCTTCCCCGTGGACTGTGCTGACAAAACGCTTCAAAGCTCCCCTGCACGCTCCCTTGCATATCCCATTGACACCCCTTCCCCCCTGAAACCCAACCCCCATCTTCCAACCCCTCGTGCACACCAGCTGGTGGAGATGGAGGGGGGCACCTTCCCCGTGGACTGTGCCTCCTCTGCAGCACAGTCCTATTGAAACAGACGCAGAAACCGTCCTTTCCCCTCCCTCATCCCTCCCCCACCCACTCCCCCTCTCCCTGCACACACCCACCAGCTGGTGGAGATGGAGGGGGACACGTTCCCCGTGGACTGTGCTGACGTGTACGCCTTCTCTGCTGAGCTGTACCGCCTGCTTGTGCGCTACCCATTGGAGGTCATCCCCATCTTCGACATCAAGATTGCTGAGCTGGCAGCCGACCGCATGCCCATGTGGGACAAGCACATCCAGGTGGGCGGCTTGGGCAGCTGACAGACTTCTTGGGGAGCTGACAGACTTCTTGGGCAGCTGACAGACTTCTTGGGCAGCTGACAGACTTCTTGGGCAGCTGACAGACTTCTTGGGCAGCTGACAGACTTCTTGGGCAGCTGACAGACTTCTTGGGCAACTGACAGACTTCTTGGGCAGCTGACAGACTTCTTGGGCAGCTGACAGACTTCTTGGGCAGCTGACAGACTTCTTGGGCAGCTGACAGACTTCTTGGGCAGCTGACAGACTTCTTGGGCAGCTGACAGACTTCTTGGGCAGCTGACAGACTTCTTGGGCAGCTGACAGACTTCTTGGGCAGCTGACAGATTTCTTGGGCAGCTGACAGATTTCTTTTGCAGCTGACAGATTTCTTTTGCAGCTGACAGATTTCTTTTGCAGCTGACAGATTGGCCATGTGGGTATGGGAGAAGTACATGCAAGTGAATGTAGCCATCACTCACCACACGCACCACACTCACCTGCCATCGCTCAAGAGGAGAAATGCGCCTCCCTCACTTCTGCCTCACTCCCTCCCACCCCCTCAGGTGCGCACATTCAACCTCCAGGACACAGTGCACATGCGCGACCTCAACCCCTCAGGTGCGTGCCTGCCTGGCCGCCTTGTTGCTAGGGTGGTAGACCTCAACCCCTCAGGTGCGTGCCTGCCTGGCCGCCTTGTTGCTAGGGTGGTAGACCTCAACCCCTCAGGTGCGTGCCTGCCTGGCCGCCTTGTTGCTAGGGTGGTAGACCTCAACCCCTCAGGTGCGTGCCTGCCTGGCCGCCTTGTTGCTAGGGTGGTAGACCTCAACCCCTCAGGTGCGTGCCTGCCTGGCCGCCTTGTTGCTAGGGTGGTAGACCTCAACCCCTCAGGTGCGTGCCTGCCTGGCCGCCATCTCTAAGTCCACGTATTCAACCTCCGGGACACAGTGCACATGTGCGGCCTCAAACAGTGATCATCAGCCACACCAACCCCTCCCTTCTCCAACCTCCCCTTTTATCAACATTTTCCGCCCTCCCTCCTCTCCCCCTACCTTCTCTTTCCTCCCACCCCCCTCTAACCCTCCTCCCCGTCTCCCCACCACATATCCATGCACTGGTGGCGGTGAGGGGCATGGTCATCCGCACATCATCCATCATTCCAGACATCAAGGCGGCTTACTTCAAGTGCCTCGTGTGCAGCCACAGCCACTCTCATGCCCACATGTCTCCACTGTCCAATAACCCCCCTCCTCCTCCGTCCCTCCCTCCCCTTCTCCTTCTCTCCTCCTACCTTCCCTGCTCTCCCCTTCCCTTTCCCTTCCCTCCTCCCCCCACCAGACATCGACGCATTGGTGGCGGTGAGGGGCATGGTCATCCGCACCTCCTCCATCATCCGATCGTCTGTCTTAGCTGCACCTCTTTCTCCCTCCCTCCCTCCCTTTCTCCCCCCACCAGACATCGACGCACTGGTGGCGGTGAGGGGCATGGTCATCCGCACCTCCTCCATCATACCAGACATCAAGGCGGCTTACTTCAAGTGCCTCGTGTGCGGCCACTCGCCTGACCTCGTACTCGTTGACAGAGGTGCGTAAGGTGGCGGGGCTGGGTGGTGGGGTTGGATGGCGGGATTGGGTGACAGTGCATGAGCGGAATGACATCAAGGCGGCTTACTTCAAGTGCCTCGTGTGCGGACCTCGTACTCGTTGACAGAGGTGCGTAAGGTGGCGGGGCTGGGTGGTGGGGTTGGATGGCGGGATTGGGTGACAGTGCATGAGCGGAATGACATCAAGGCGGCTTACTTCAAGTGCCTCGTGTGCGGCCACTCGCCTGACCTCGTACTCGTTGACAGAGGTGAGTTGAGAGGGAAATGTGGAAAGAAGTGAGTAAGGTTTTTTCGGGGGAGGGAGAGGGGGGGGGGGGGGGGGGGGGGGGACAGTGCGTGGGTGGAATGACATCAACGCAGCACACTGCTAGTGCCTCGTGTGCGGTCACTTTCCTGACCTTGTGCTTGCGGACAGCGATGCTGCAGGAGAGGATACGCATTTTGGCGTGCCTCAAAAGTCGTCTCTTACCCCGCAATTTGTATCGGGTCATTCTCCTGACCTCGTGCTTGCGGACAGCGATGCTGCAGGAGACACATCCTCTGTTCCCCTACCCACCTCTCCTTTCCCACTCCCTTTCCCCTTTCTCCTTTTCCCCCTCTGTCTTCGGTACTTTGCAAGAGTGATTGAGGAGCCAAGGCGCTGTCCCTGGCCCGAGTATGGTTTTTGAGAATTCTCAAAAATCACTCGCAAGGCGCTGTCCCTGGCCCGAGTGTGGTTTTTGAGAATTCTCAAAAATCACTCGCAAGGCACTGTCCCTGTCGCATACCGCACGGTCTCATTCCCTTCTCCCTGTCCTCCTCCCTTCCACCTCACACCTTTGGTACTTGGCAGGAGTGATAGAGGAACCAAGAAGGTGTCCGTGGCCCGAGTGTGGGGCGTTGAACAGCATGACGCTGATTCACAACCGCAGCCGATTCATCAACAAGCAGATGCTGCGCCTGCAGGAGACGCCAGAGGACATGCCGGAAGGGGAGACACCGCACACCGTGTCTGTGTTTCTGTTCGACTCTTTGGTTGACACTGCCAAGCCGGGTGACAGGGTGGAGGTGAGTTCTAAACATCGACACTGCATGGAGTAGTAGCAGGTATGTGTTTGCGAGGTGACTTTTGAGTCGACTCAAAAGTCACCTCGACTCAAAAGTCTTTTGAGTCGACTCAAAAGTCACCTTTTGAGTCGACTCAAAAGTCACCTTTTGAGTCGACTCAAAAGTCTGCATGGAGTAGTAGCAGGTATGTGTTTGCGAGGTGACTTTTGAGTCGACTCAAAAGTCACCTCGACTCAAAAGTCTTTTGAGTCGACTCAAAAGTCACCTTTTGAGTCGACTCAAAAGTCTGCATGGAGTAGTAGCAGGTATGTGTTTGCGAGGTGACTTTTGAGTCGACTCAAAAGTCACCTCGACTCAAAAGTCTTTTGAGTCGACTCAAAAGTCACCTTTTGAGTCGACTCAAAAGTCTGCATGGAGTAGTAGCAGGTATGTGTTTGCGAGGTGACTTTTGAGTCGACTCAAAAGTCACCTCGACTCAAAAGTCTGCATGGAGTAGTAGCAGGTATGTGTTTGCGAGGTGACTTTTGAGTCGACTCAAAAGTCACCTCGACTCAAAAGTCTTTTGAGTCGACTCAAAAGTCACCTTTTGAGTCGACTCAAAAGTCTGCATGGAGTAGTAGCAGGTATGTGTTTGCGAGGTGACTTTTGAGTCGACTCAAAAGTCACCTCGACTCAAAAGACTTTTGAGTCGACTCAAAAGTCTTTTGAGTCGACTCAAAAGTCACCTTTTGAGTCGACTCAAAAGTCACCTTTTGAGTCGACTCAAAAGTCTGCATGGAGTAGTAGCAGGTATGTGTTTGCGAGGTGACTTTTGAGTCGACTCAAAAGTCACCTCGACTCAAAAGTCTTTTGAGTCGACTCAAAAGTCACCTTTTGAGTCGACTCAAAAGTCTGCATGGAGTAGTAGCAGGTATGTGTTTGCGAGGTGACTTTTGAGTCGACTCAAAAGTCACCTCGACTCAAAAGTCTTTTGAGTCGACTCAAAAGTCACCTTTTGAGTCGACTCAAAAGTCTGCATGGAGTAGTAGCAGGTATGTGTTTGCGAGGTGACTTTTGAGTCGACTCAAAAGTCACCTCGACTCAAAAGTCTTTTGAGTCGACTCAAAAGTCACCTTTTGAGTCGACTCAAAAGTCTGCATGGAGTAGTAGCAGGTATGTGTTTGCGAGGTGACTTTTGAGTCGACTCAAAAGTCACCTCGACTCAAAAGTCTTTTGAGTCGACTCAAAAGTCACCTTTTGAGTCGACTCAAAAGTCTGCATGGAGTAGTAGCAGGTATGTGTTTGCGAGGTGACTTTTGAGTCGACTCAAAAGTCACCTCGACTCAAAAGTCTTTTGAGTCGACTCAAAAGTCACCTTTTGAGTCGACTCAAAAGTCACCTTTTGAGTCGACTCAAAAGTCTGCATGGAGTAGTAGCAGGTATGTGTTTGCGAGGTGACTTTTGAGTCGACTCAAAAGTCACCTCGACTCAAAAGTCTTTTGAGTCGACTCAAAAGTCACCTTTTGAGTCGACTCAAAAGTCTGCATGGAGTAGTAGCAGGTATGTGTTTGCGAGGTGACTTTTGAGTCGACTCAAAAGTCACCTCGACTCAAAAGTCTTTTGAGTCGACTCAAAAGTCACCTTTTGAGTCGACTCAAAAGTCACCTTTTGAGTCGACTCAAAAGTCTGCATGGAGTAGTAGCAGGTATGTGTTTGCGAGGTGACTTTTGAGTCGACTCAAAAGTCACCTCGACTCAAAAGTCTTTTGAGTCGACTCAAAAGTCACCTTTTGAGTCGACTCAAAAGTCTGCATGGAGTAGTAGCAGGTATGTGTTTGCGAGGTGACTTTTGAGTCGACTCAAAAGTCACCTCGACTCAAAAGTCTTTTGAGTCGACTCAAAAGTCACCTTTTGAGTCGACTCAAAAGTCTGCATGGAGTAGTAGCAGGTATGTGTTTGCGAGGTGACTTTTGAGTCGACTCAAAAGTCACCTCGACTCAAAAGTCTTTTGAGTCGACTCAAAAGTCACCTTTTGAGTCGACTCAAAAGTCTGCATGGAGTAGTAGCAGGTATGTGTTTGCGAGGTGACTTTTGAGTCGACTCAAAAGTCACCTCGACTCAAAAGTCTTTTGAGTCGACTCAAAAGTCACCTTTTGAGTCGACTCAAAAGTCTGCATGGAGTAGTAGCAGGTATGTGTTTGCGAGGTGACTTTTGAGTCGACTCAAAAGTCACCTCGACTCAAAAGTCTTTTGAGTCGACTCAAAAGTCACCTTTTGAGTCGACTCAAAAGTCTGCATGGAGTAGTAGCAGGTATGTGTTTGCGAGGTGACTTTTGAGTCGACTCAAAAGTCACCTCGACTCAAAAGTCTTTTGAGTCGACTCAAAAGTCACCTTTTGAGTCGACTCAAAAGTCTGCATGGAGTAGTAGCAGGTATGTGTTTGCGAGGTGACTTTTGAGTCGACTCAAAAGTCACCTCGACTCAAAAGTCTTTTGAGTCGACTCAAAAGTCACCTTTTGAGTCGACTCAAAAGTCTGCATGGAGTAGTAGCAGGTATGTGTTTGCGAGGTGACTTTTGAGTCGACTCAAAAGTCACCTCGACTCAAAAGTCTTTTGAGTCGACTCAAAAGTCACCTTTTGAGTCGACTCAAAAGTCTGCATGGAGTAGTAGCAGGTATGTGTTTGCGAGGTGACTTTTGAGTCGACTCAAAAGTCACCTCGACTCAAAAGTCTTTTGAGTCGACTCAAAAGTCACCTTTTGAGTCGACTCAAAAGTCACCTTTTGAGTCGACTCAAAAGTCTGCATGGAGTAGTAGCAGGTATGTGTTTGCGAGGTGACTTTTGAGTCGACTCAAAAGTCACCTCGACTCAAAAGTCTTTTGAGTCGACTCAAAAGTCACCTTTTGAGTCGACTCAAAAGTCTGCATGGAGTAGTAGCAGGTATGTGTTTGCGAGGTGACTTTTGAGTCGACTCAAAAGTCACCTCGACTCAAAAGACTTTTGAGTCGACTCAAAAGTCTGCATGGAGTAGTAGCAGGTATGTGTTTGCGAGGTGACTTTTGAGTCGACTCAAAAGTCACCTCGACTCAAAAGTCTTTTGAGTCGACTCAAAAGTCACCTTTTGAGTCGACTCAAAAGTCTGCATGGAGTAGTAGCAGGTATGTGTTTGCGAGGTGACTTTTGAGTCGACTCAAAAGTCACCTCGACTCAAAAGTCTTTTGAGTCGACTCAAAAGTCACCTTTTGAGTCGACTCAAAAGTCTGCATGGAGTAGTAGCAGGTATGTGTTTGCGAGGTGACTTTTGAGTCGACTCAAAAGTCACCTCGACTCAAAAGACTTTTGAGTCGACTCAAAAGTCTTTTGAGTCGACTCAAAAGTCACCTTTTGAGTCGACTCAAAAGTCTGCATGGAGTAGTAGCAGGTATGTGTTTGCGAGGTGACTTTTGAGTCGACTCAAAAGTCACCTCGACTCAAAAGTCTTTTGAGTCGACTCAAAAGTCACCTTTTGAGTCGACTCAAAAGTCTGCATGGAGTAGTAGCAGGTATGTGTTTGCGAGGTGACTTTTGAGTCGACTCAAAAGTCACCTCGACTCAAAAGTCTTTTGAGTCGACTCAAAAGTCACCTTTTGAGTCGACTCAAAAGTCTGCATGGAGTAGTAGCAGGTATGTGTTTGCGAGGTGACTTTTGAGTCGACTCAAAAGTCACCTCGACTCAAAAGTCTTTTGAGTCGACTCAAAAGTCACCTTTTGAGTCGACTCAAAAGTCTGCATGGAGTAGTAGCAGGTATGTGTTTGCGAGGTGACTTTTGAGTCGACTCAAAAGTCACCTCGACTCAAAAGTCTTTTGAGTCGACTCAAAAGTCACCTTTTGAGTCGACTCAAAAGTCTGCATGGAGTAGTAGCAGGTATGTGTTTGCGAGGTGACTTTTGAGTCGACTCAAAAGTCACCTCGACTCAAAAGTCTTTTGAGTCGACTCAAAAGTCACCTTTTGAGTCGACTCAAAAGTCTGCATGGAGTAGTAGCAGGTATGTGTTTGCGAGGTGACTTTTGAGTCGACTCAAAAGTCACCTCGACTCAAAAGTCTTTTGAGTCGACTCAAAAGTCACCTTTTGAGTCGACTCAAAAGTCTGCATGGAGTAGTAGCAGGTATGTGTTTGCGAGGTGACTTTTGAGTCGACTCAAAAGTCACCTCGACTCAAAAGTCTTTTGAGTCGACTCAAAAGTCACCTTTTGAGTCGACTCAAAAGTCTGCATGGAGTAGTAGCAGGTATGTGTTTGCGAGGTGACTTTTGAGTCGACTCAAAAGTCACCTCGACTCAAAAGTCTTTTGAGTCGACTCAAAAGTCACCTTTTGAGTCGACTCAAAAGTCTGCATGGAGTAGTAGCAGGTATGTGTTTGCGAGGTGACTTTTGAGTCGACTCAAAAGTCACCTCGACTCAAAAGTCTTTTGAGTCGACTCAAAAGTCACCTTTTGAGTCGACTCAAAAGTCTGCATGGAGTAGTAGCAGGTATGTGTTTGCGAGGTGACTTTTGAGTCGACTCAAAAGTCACCTCGACTCAAAAGTCTTTTGAGTCGACTCAAAAGTCACCTTTTGAGTCGACTCAAAAGTCTGCATGGAGTAGTAGCAGGTATGTGTTTGCGAGGTGACTTTTGAGTCGACTCAAAAGTCACCTCGACTCAAAAGTCTTTTGAGTCGACTCAAAAGTCACCTTTTGAGTCGACTCAAAAGTCTGCATGGAGTAGTAGCAGGTATGTGTTTGCGAGGTGACTTTTGAGTCGACTCAAAAGTCACCTCGACTCAAAAGTCTTTTGAGTCGACTCAAAAGTCACCTTTTGAGTCGACTCAAAAGTCTGCATGGAGTAGTAGCAGGTATGTGTTTGCGAGGTGACTTTTGAGTCGACTCAAAAGTCACCTCGACTCAAAAGTCTTTTGAGTCGACTCAAAAGTCACCTTTTGAGTCGACTCAAAAGTCTGCATGGAGTAGTAGCAGGTATGTGTTTGCGAGGTGACTTTTGAGTCGACTCAAAAGTCACCTCGACTCAAAAGTCTTTTGAGTCGACTCAAAAGTCACCTTTTGAGTCGACTCAAAAGTCTGCATGGATTAGTAGCAGGTATGTGTTTGCGAGGTGACTTTTGAGTCGACTCAAAAGTCACCTCGACTCAAAAGTCTTTTGAGTCGACTCAAAAGTCACCTTTTGAGTCGACTCAAAAGTCTGCATGGAGTAGTAGCAGGTATGTGTTTGCGCCTGCAGGAGACGCCAGAGGACATGCCGGAAGGGGAGACCCCGCATACTGTGTCCGTGTTTCTGTTCGACTCTTTGGTGAGGGGATGTTTGAGTATGACTTTCAGGGTCAGAACCCCCACTGGCTGGCTGGCTGACAGGCTGACTGGCTGACTGGTTACCGGCTAACTAGTTGACCGGCTGACAAGCTAACTGGCTGACTGGCTGACTGGCTGACTGGCTTGACTGGTTCACCAGCTGCTTCCCTGATTTAAGTGCCTTGCCGCCGGTATTGCAATGCTGTATTTATGTGCAGGTGACGGGGGTGTTTCGAGCTGTGCCCGTTCGAGTCAACTCCAACCAGCGCAACCTGCGCTCGCTGTACCGGGTGGGTGGTGGGTTGGGTAGAGGGCTGGGTGGGTGAGTGCGGAGGGGTGAGTGGGTAGGTGGGTGGGTGGATGTGCTGGCTTGTGTGACATCTCAAGACTCAACTCCAACCAGCGCAACCTGCGCTCGCTCTACCGGGTGGGTGGTCGGTTGGGTAGAGGGCTGGGTGGGTGAGTGTGGAGGGGTGAGTGAGTAGGTGGGTGAGTGGATGTGCTGGCTTGTGTGACATCTCAAGAGTCAACTCCAACCAGCGCAATCTGCACTCGCTCTACCGGGTGGGTGGTGGGTGGGTGTGGAGGGGTGAGTTGGCAGGTGGGTGGGAAGATAGGTGCGTGGGTGTTTGGGTAAGTGGGCAGGTGGGCGGGGTCCTTTGGAGTCAACTCCAACCAGCGCAACCTGCGCTCGCTCTACCGGGTGGGTGGGTGGGAGAGAGGAGGGGGGTGGGTGGCTTGGTGGGTGGAAGGGACGGAGGGTGGGTGGTGTGGTGGGTGGGGGGGTTGAGTCGGCAGGGGGCTTTGTGAGTCAGCTTTAAGCAGTGGGCAGACTCATCGGTGATTGTGATTGTGATTGTGATTGCGATTGTGATTGTGATTGTTGAGTCGGCAGCCTAGGCAATCACAATCGGCTGCCCAGACAATCACAAATACAACCGTACTAACTGCCCCATCCCCTCCCCACACCCCACCACCCCTTCCACTGCAGACCTATCTGGATTGCATTCACATTCGCAAGGAGGAGGGCGGGCGCACGCGCAACAAGGGGGCAGCGCAGCAGTCACAGTCACAGTCACAGCCGCTGGCGGCCTCTGGTGATGCTCACCACGCCAACCCTGACGCTGCCTACTTCTCCCCTCAGCAGGTATGGTTGGGTTTCGCCCTTTGGGGGTTTTGTCTTTTGAAGGTTTCGTCCTTTGAGACGTCTCAAGAGGGGCAACACAAAAGGTGCAGTCATGATCACAGCCGCTGGCACCATGGGGTGATGCTCACCACGCCAACCCTGACGCTGCCTACTTCTCCCCACAGCAGGTATGGTTGGGTAGGTTTCGCCTTTTGAGACGCCTCACATGACGGAGTGCAGCACGCGCAGTCACAACAGCCGCTGGCACCTTCAGCCATGTGATTAGGCGAGCAGCAGCCATGTAATCCACGTGTAAGTAGACGACTTTTGAGACGTCTCAAAGCACGACGGAGTGCAGCACACGCAGTCACAACGGCCGCTGGCAGCATCTGCTGGGAGCGATGCTGACGACGCCAACCCTCACCACAACAGGTATGGATGGGTGTTGCCTTTGCTGCACTTGGAATTCATTGTGCTGCCTTTGCTGGACAGATTGGACAGTTCGCATAGTGTTTTCTGTTCCTCGGCACTACACCGTTAGAATTCCTTTTCTGTACTTAGAATTCCTTGTGCTGCCCCGACAGACTGGACAGTTCGCACCGTGTTTGCTTTTGCTGCCCAGCTCACCTCGGCACTACACCACACATGCACTACACCATGCATGCACTACACCATGCATGCACTACACCATGCATGCACTACACCATGCATGCACTACACCATGCATGCACTACACCATGCATGCACTACACCATGCATGCACTTCACTATGGATGCAATCACCATGCATGCACTTCACCATGCATGCACTACACCATGCATGCACTTCACCCATGCGGTTTGGCTTTCGTCCATCCATCTGTCTCGCTGTACACCCCGCCAGGTGGAGGCATTTCGGGAACTATCCCGGCAGCCGGACATATACGAGAGGCTGGCTCGCTCCCTGGCGCCGTCCATCTATGAGCTGGATGACATCAAGAAGGGGCTGCTGTGCCAGGTGGGGGGCAGGGAGGTGGGGGCAAGGCAAGGGAGGCTCAATTGTCTCCCAGTGCTATTCAAAAGCACACCACACCACAACACATGAGTTCCCTGGCGCCTCCCAGGTACGATCTGGATGATTTCAACAAGGGGCTGCTGTGCCAGGTGGGTTGAAGAGAGGGGAATGCTTGGCTAGGGCAAGGGGAAGGCCAAGGGGGAACGACTAGCATGCTTTTTTATGCTACTCAGTAACATACCATGCGCACACATTCTCCTTGTCAGCTGGGTCCTCTTCCCAGCTCTTAAGCCCCTTTACCCTATGCCCCTTCTTCCTCCCCGTTGCAGCTCGTTGGCAGGTCAGTGAAGCGCCTGGCATCAGGGGTGCAGTTCCGTTGAGTCATGAACGTGCTGCTGGTGGGGGACCTGGGCACGAGCATACCTTGGTGACTTGACTTGACTTGACTTAACTTGACTTGACTTTACGTCTTCCTTTGCCTCTCATCCTCCCTGCAGCTGTTCGGTGGGTCAGTGAAGCGTCTGTCATCAGGAGTGCAGTTCCGCGGGGATATGAATGTGCTGCTGGTGGGGGACCCAACTTGTCTTGGGTGCTTTAGACAGCCCCCTTGCCGACAATTCCCTTTAATTTCCCCCTTGCAGTTGTTCGGTGGTTTCGTCAAGCGTCTATCATCCGGAGTGCAGTTCCGCGGGGACATGAATGTGCTGTTGGTGGGGGATTCAGGCACAAGCACACCTTTCTTGACTTGACTTTATGCGTCCGTTTGCCATCCTTCCCCGTGCAGCTCTTCGGGGGGTCGGTAAAACGCCTGTCATCAGGAGTGCAGTTCCGCGGGGACATGAACGTGCTGCTGGTGGGGGACCCGGGCACGAGCAAGTCGCAGCTGCTGCAGTATGTGCACAAGATCGCTCCGCGGGGCATTTACACGAGCGGGCGAGGCAGCAGTGCCGTGGGTCTCACAGCCTATGTCACCAAGGACCCTGAGACACGCGAAATGGTGAGCTGAGGCTGGGGAGGGGGAGCTGATGGGGACACGCGAGGCTGGGGTATTGTTCTTGGGTGGTTGTAGAGGCACGAGCAAGTCGCAGCTGCTGCAGTATGCACACAGGATTGCACATAGGGGGATGGGATCTACATGAGTGGGCGAGGCAGCAGTGCCGTGAGGCTCACTGCATATGTGGTGAAACAACCTGTAGCATATGTGACAAAGGACCCTGAAACACGCGAAATGGTGAGCTGAGGCTGGGTAGTTGGTTGGTGGTGTTTTGTGCTGAGAGAGGCAGCTGCTGCAGTATGCTCACAGGATTGCACATTGTGCTGCAGTAGCAAGTCGCAGCTGCTGCAGTGTGTGTACAAGACAAGATCGCGCCCAGAGAGGCAACTATGTGAGCGGCTGGGGCAGCAGTGCCGTGGGGCTCACAACCTATGTCAACAAAATGGTGGGGCATGCCTCACGAGCTGTGTCTTGATTCTCCTCTGCTTCTCCACTGCCCCACCCCCTGCCTGCCGGCTTGCCTGCAGGTGCTGGAGAGTGGCGCCCTGGTGCTGAGCGACCGCAGCATCTGCTTCATCCATGAGTTGAAAAGGTCTGGGTTGAAAGCGGTGCTGTGTGCTTTTCTTCTCATTCCCCTGCCTTCCGGCCTGCCTGCAGGTCCTGGAGAGTGGCGCGCTGGTGCTGAGCGATCGAGGCATTTGCTGCATCGATGAGTTTGACAAGATGTCGGACAATGCGCGTAGCATGCTGCACGAGGTGAGGAGGAAGGGGGAGTGGAAGGGGGAGTGGAAGGGGGAGTGGAAGGGGGAGTGGAAGGGGGAGTGAAAGGGGGAGTGGAAGGGGGGGGAGGGGTTGAGTATATGCCATTGCGGGTGGGTGCATCTGCTGCATTGATGAGTTTGACAAGATGTCTGACAATGCTCGCAGCATGCTGCATGAGGTGAGGGGAGGGGGGAAGGGGGGATGGGAGGGAAGGGCGAGTAATCCGGGGGGGGTATGTGGCAGAAAGAGACAGAAGATGTCCGAAAATGCTCGTAGCATGCTGCATGAGGTGAGGAGGGAGGAGGTGGGGAAAAGGGGATGAAGAGGGGGATGGGGGGAGAGCGACCGAGGCATTTGCTGCATTGATAAGTTTGACAAGATATCCGACAATGCCTGCAGCATGCTGCATGAGGTGAGGGGGAGTGGGGAGAGGGGGAAGAGGAGCGAATGAGCTGGAGGGGCATGCTGCATGAGGTCAGGAGGCTGCTCTCCATGCTGCATGAGGTCAGGAGGCTGCTCTCCATGCCGCATGAGGTCAGGAGGCTGCTCTCCATGCTGCATGAGGTCAGGAGGCTGCTCTCCATGCCGCATGAGGTCAGGAGGCTGCTCTCCATGCCGCATGAGGTCAGGAGGCTGCTCTCCATGCCGCATGAGGTCAGGAGGCTGCTCTCCATGCTGCATGAGGTCAGGAGGCTGCTCTCCATGCCGCATGAGGTCAGGAGGCTGCTCTCCATGCTGCATGAGGTCAGGAGGCTGCTCTCCATGCCGCATGAGGTCAGGAGGCTGCTCTCCATGCTGCATGAGGTCAGGAGGCTGCTCTCCATGCCGCATGAGGTCAGGAGGCTGCTCTCCATGCCGCATGAGGTCAGGAGGCTGCTCTCCATGCCGCATGAGGTAAGGAGGCTGCTCTCCATGCCGCATGAGGTCAGGAGGCTGCTCTCCATGCCGCATGAGGTCAGGAGGCTGCTCTCCATGCCGCATGAGGTCAGGAGGCTGCTCTCCATGCCGCATGAGGTCAGGAGGCTGCTCTCCATGCTGCATGAGGTCAGGAGGCTGCTCTCCATGCCGCATGAGGTCAGGAGGCTGCTCTCCATGCTGCATGAGGTCAGGAGGCTGCTCTCCATGCCGCATGAGGTCAGGAGGCTGCTCTCCATGCTGCATGAGGTCAGGAGGCTGCTCTCCATGCCGCATGAGGTCAGGAGGCTGCTCTCCATGCCGCATGAGGTCAGGAGGCTGCTCTCCATGCCGCATGAGGTCAGGAGGCTGCTCTCCATGCCGCATGAGGTCAGGAGGCTGCTCTCCATGCCGCATAAGGTCAGGAGGCTGCTCTCCATGCTGCATGAGGTCAGGAGGCTGCTCTCCATGCCGCATGAGGTCAGGAGGCTGCTCTCCATGCCGCATGAGGTCAGGAGGCTGCTCTCCATGCCGCATGAGGTCAGGAGGCTGCTCTCCATGCCGCATGAGGTCAGGAGGCTGCTCTCCATGCTGCATGCTGCATGCTGCATGAGTCTCTCTTCATGTGGAATGTCGCATCCCATGCATGCCACGCCATGTCATGTCTTTTGAGTCGACTCAGAGGGGCCGTGCTGCATGATGCATGGTGTAGTAGCCATGCGATTCACTGCGATGTGGCGTGGTGCATTCCATGCCAAGCCATGTCATCCACCATGGCATGTCTTGTCACATCACATGTCACCTTACGTCATGCCATGTCATGTGATCCCAACAGGTCATGGAGCAACAGACCGCATCTGTAGTCAAGGCGGGCATCGTTGCAACGCTCAACGCATTGAGACAGCACAGCTGTGATGACCGTGTGATCCTGCTACCAACTCAACTCCATCCCTTTCCCCCGTCCCCACCCATCAGGTGATGGAGCAGCAGACGGTGTCAGTGGCCAAGGCAGGCATCATCGCCACACTCAACGCACGCACCTCTGTGCTCGCTTGCGCCAACCCTTCCGGATCGCGCTACAACCCGCGCCTCTCTGTTATTGACAACATTCAGCTGCCGCCCACACTGCTGTCCAGGTATGTCTTAACCATTCACTGGGTGTTGACGTGGTTCGACTTGCTTGACTCTGGCTCATGCTACAACCCGCGCCTCTCTGTTATTGACAATGAGGAAAGGAAAGGCAAATTTCCCTTTCTCTTTCCTCCTCCCCCCTGCTGTATTTGCTTCTCGTTCCTTGCTAATTGCTTTACCAGGTTCGATCTCATCTATCTCGTTCTTGACAAGGCGGAGGAGCAATCGGACCGTCGGTTAGCCCGCCATCTTGTCGCCCTGCACTACAAGAACCCAGAGGTGCTGTGTGGTGTAATGGTACTGCGTGCGGTGCAGAGGTACTGCGTGTGGTGCAGAGGTACTGCGTGAGGAACTGTGTGCGGTGCCATGGTATTGTGTGCGGTGGTGAAAGAACGTAAAAGTTCTCTGCTGTGCGATGACCTGAGCACGCCCGTCTCCCGAACACAATATCCAAGTGAATCCCTCACCTTTTCTCTCCTCCCTCTCTCCCTCTCTCTCCCTCTCTCTCCCTCTCTCTCCCTCTCTCTCCCTCTCTCTCCCTCTCTCTCCCTCTCTCTCCCTCTCAGCCCTCTGCAGCAGCCACCATCGACAGTGCAACTCTCACCTCCTATCCTGCACGGCACGTACGCACGCGCATCCACTCACCCCCTTTTCCCCCTGCTCCACTCCCGTCCCTTCACCCTTTCCCCCTGCTCCACTCCCGTCCCTTCACCCTTTTCCCCCTGCTCCACTCCCGTCCCTTCACCCTTTTCCCCCTGCTCCACTCCCGTCCCTTCACCCTTTTCCCCCTGCTCCACTCCCGTCCCTTCACCCTTTTCCCCCTGCTCCACTCCCGTCCCTTCACCCTTTTCCCCCTGCTCCACTCCCGTCCCTTCACCCTTTTCCCCCTGCTCCACTCCCGCCCCTTCACCCTTTTCCCCCTGCTCCACTCCCGTCCCTTCACCCTTTTCCCCCTGCTCCACTCCCGTCCCTTCACCCTTTTCCCCCTGCTCCACTCCCGTCCCTTCACCCTTTTCCCCCTGCTCCACTCCCATCCCTTCACCCTTTTCCCCCTGCTCCACTCCCGTCCCTTCACCCTTTTCCCCCTGCTCCACTCCCGTCCCTTCACCCTTTTCCCCTTTTCCCCCTACATCACGTATGCATGCACGTGCATCCACCCGGAACTGAGTTGACTTTTGAGTCGACTCAAAAGTCAACGTGGCAACACTGACCTCATACATCACGTATGCATGCACGTGCATCCACCCGGAACTGAGTTGACTTTTGAGTCAACTCAAAAGTCAACGTGGCATCACTGACCTCCTACATCACGTATGCACGCACGTGCATCCACCCGGAACTGAGTTGACTTTTGAGTCGACTCAAAAGTCAACATGGCAACACTGACCTCATACATCACGTATGCCCGCACGTGCATCCACCCGGAACTGAGTTGACTTTTGAGTCGACTCAAAAGTCAACGTGGCAACACTGACCTCATACATCACGTATGCATGCACGTGCATCCACCCGGAACTGAGTTGACTTTTGAGTCAACTCAAAAGTCAACGTGGCAACACTGACCTCCTACATCACGTATGCACGCACGTGCATCCACCCGGAACTGAGTTGACTTTTGAGTCGACTCAAAAGTCAACATGGCAACACTGACCTCATACATCACGTATGCACGCACGTGCATCCACCCGGAACTGAGTTGACTTTTGAGTCGACTCAAAAGTCAACATGGCAACACTGACCTCATACATCACGTATGCACGCACGTGCATCCACCCGGAACTGAGTTGACTTTTGAGTCGACTCAAAAGTCAACATGGCAACACTGACCTCATACATCACGTATGCCCGCACGTGCATCCACCCGGAACTGAGTTGACTTTTGAGTCGACTCAAAAGTCAACGTGGCAACACTGACCTCATACATCACGTATGCATGCACGTGCATCCACCCGGAACTGAGTTGACTTTTGAGTCAACTCAAAAGTCAACGTGGCAACACTGACCTCCTACATCACGTATGCACGCACGTGCATCCACCCGGAACTGAGTTGACTTTTGAGTCGACTCAAAAGTCAACATGGCAACACTGACCTCATACATCACGTATGCACGCACGTGCATCCACCCGGAACTGAGTTGACTTTTGAGTCGACTCAAAAGTCAACATGGCAACACTGACCTCATACATCACGTATGCACGCACGTGCATCCACCCGGAACTGAGTTGACTTTTGAGTCGACTCAAAAGTCAACATGGCAACACTGACCTCATACATCACGTATGCACGCACGTGCATCCACCCGGAACTGAGTTGACTTTTGAGTCGACTCAAAAGTCAACATGGCAACACTGACACCTTACATCACGTATGCACGCACGTGCATCCACCCGGAACTGAGTTGACTTTTGAGTCGACTCAAAAGTCAACATGGCAACAATGACCTCATACATCACGTATGCACGCACGTGCATCCACCCGGAACTGAGTTGACTTTTGAGTCGACTCAAAAGTCAACATGGCAACACTGACCTCATACATCACGTATGCACGCACGTGCATCCACCCGGAACTGAGTTGACTTTTGAGTCGACTCAAAAGTCAACATGGCAACACTGACCTCATACATCACGTATGCACGCACGTGCATCCACCCGGAACTGAGTTGACTTTTGAGTCGACTCAAAAGTCAACATGGCAACACTGACCTCATACATCACGTATGCACGCACGTGCATCCACCCGGAACTGAGTTGACTTTTGAGTCGACTCAAAAGTCAACATGGCAACACTGACCTCATACATCACGTATGCACGCACGTGCATCCACCCGGAACTGAGTTGACTTTTGAGTCGACTCAAAAGTCAACATGGCAACACTGACCTCATACATCACGTATGCACGCACGTGCATCCACCCGGAACTGAGTTGACTTTTGAGTCGACTCAAAAGTCAACATGGCAACAATGACCTCATACATCACGTATGCACGCACGTGCATCCACCCGGAACTGAGTTGACTTTTGAGTCGACTCAAAAGTCAACATGGCAACACTGATCTCATACATCACGTATGCACGCACGTGCATCCACCCGGAACTGAGTTGACTTTTGAGTCGACTCAAAAGTCAACATGGCAACACTGACCTCATACATCACGTATGCACGCACGTGCATCCACCCGGAACTGAGTTGACTTTTGAGTCGACTCAAAAGTCAACATGGCAACACTGACCTCATACATCACGTATGCACGCACGTGCATCCACCCGGAACTGAGTTGACTTTTGAGTCGACTCAAAAGTCAACATGGCAACACTGACCTCATACATCACGTATGCACGCACGTGCATCCACCCGGAACTGAGTTGACTTTTGAGTCGACTCAAAAGTCAACATGGCAACACTGACACCTTACATCACGTATGCACGCACGTGCATCCACCCGGAACTGAGTTGACTTTTGAGTCGACTCAAAAGTCAACATGGCAACACTGACCTCATACATCACGTATGCACGCACGTGCATCCACCCGGAACTGAGTTGACTTTTGAGTCGACTCAAAAGTCAACATGGCAACACTGACCTCATACATCACGTATGCACGCACGTGCATCCACCCGGAACTGAGTTGACTTTTGAGTCGACTCAAAAGTCAACATGGCAACAATGACCTCATACATCACGTATGCACGCACGTGCATCCACCCGGAACTGAGTTGACTTTTGAGTCGACTCAAAAGTCAACATGGCAACACTGACCTCATACATCACGTATGCACGCACGTGCATCCACCCGGAACTGAGTTGACTTTTGAGTCGACTCAAAAGTCAACATGGCAACACTGACCTCATACATCACGTATGCACGCACGTGCATCCACCCGGAACTGAGTTGACTTTTGAGTCGACTCAAAAGTCAACATGGCAACACTGACCTCATACATCACGTATGCACGCACGTGCATCCACCCGGAACTGAGTTGACTTTTGAGTCGACTCAAAAGTCAACATGGCAACACTGACCTCATACATCACGTATGCACGCACGTGCATCCACCCGGAACTGAGTTGACTTTTGAGTCGACTCAAAAGTCAACATGGCAACACTGACCTCATACATCACGTATGCACGCACGTGCATCCACCCGGAACTGAGTTGACTTTTGAGTCGACTCAAAAGTCAACATGGCAACACTGACCTCATACATCACGTATGCCCGCACGTGCATCCACCCGGAACTGAGTTGACTTTTGAGTCGACTCAAAAGTCAACGTGGCAACACTGACCTCATACATCACGTATGCATGCACGTGCATCCACCCGGAACTGAGTTGACTTTTGAGTCAACTCAAAAGTCAACGTGGCAACACTGACCTCCTACATCACGTATGCACGCACGTGCATCCACCCGGAACTGAGTTGACTTTTGAGTCGACTCAAAAGTCAACATGGCAACACTGACCTCATACATCACGTATGCACGCACGTGCATCCACCCGGAACTGAGTTGACTTTTGAGTCGACTCAAAAGTCAACATGGCAACACTGACCTCATACATCACGTATCCACGCACGTGCATCCACCCGGAACTGAGTTGACTTTTGAGTCGACTCAAAAGTCAACATGGCAACACTGACCTCATACATCACGTATGCACGCACGTGCATCCACCCGGAACTGAGTTGACTTTTGAGTCGACTCAAAAGTCAACATGGCAACACTGACACCTTACATCACGTATGCACGCACGTGCATCCACCCGGAACTGAGTTGACTTTTGAGTCGACTCAAAAGTCAACATGGCAACAATGACCTCATACATCACGTATGCACGCACGTGCATCCACCCGGAACTGAGTTGACTTTTGAGTCGACTCAAAAGTCAACATGGCAACACTGACCTCATACATCACGTATGCACGCACGTGCATCCACCCGGAACTGAGTTGACTTTTGAGTCGACTCAAAAGTCAACATGGCAACACTGACCTCATACATCACGTATGCACGCACGTGCATCCACCCGGAACTGAGTTGACTTTTGAGTCGACTCAAAAGTCAACATGGCAACACTGACCTCATACATCACGTATGCACGCACGTGCATCCACCCGGAACTGAGTTGACTTTTGAGTCGACTCAAAAGTCAACATGGCAACACTGACCTCATACATCACGTATGCACGCACGTGCATCCACCCGGAACTGAGTTGACTTTTGAGTCGACTCAAAAGTCAACATGGCAACACTGACCTCATACATCACGTATGCAC